GGGTGTACCAGAAACGGAAATAGCTTTAAGATTTGAGGACATTTCCTCCACAAATGACATGACTACAAAACCAGCTCTTTGACGTGGTGACCTCGCGATAGTTGCCGTGGCGTCGGTACCGAGACCGACTGCCTGAACTACCACCGCTCAGCTCAACTTTTGGTTTTCCCCGCTTTTCTGAGTCATACAAGTTATGGTTCAGCCTCGGTTACAACTGCACTGACAGTAAAATAGCGGAGTTTGGGGGGGAGGATGAGGGAGGAGGCCTGGGAGTTCGCGGTCGGGTGGATTCATCATCGTCAGTTGTTGGCTATTTTGTTCGGGTCGAGTAATTTTAGAATTGACGAGATGTAGGAATATTGAAGCATTCACGCCTCTCCGTGCTTTTACATTTAAAAGTCGTAACGCCGCTCGTAAAATGGTTTAAACCATGAATTACTTAAACAACTGTTGCTGGCCATCATTGTCAGTAGCATCAGCTTCAACATCCAGTAGAGGTAGGATCTACCCCATTCGGTGGCACCAGTACTCATTCCTTCCGCCTTTGTCACCCAAGTAACAAAAAAAAACACCAAAGATAAAACACGACTGAATTCCATCCAGAAGGGATGCCAAAACGGACATCCGGAGGGGTTGGGGGGGGAAGGGGGGGGGTGAAGGGTTTGACGCTCCTCAGGCTGATTTTGAAATGTAAGTGGGAGGCCAGGGGTGAGGTGATGGTTCGTTAAAGGTGGGATTGCAGTCCCCTGTTTTTGTTTTACTGTACCCAAACAGTTTGTTTGTACAAGGTGTGTTGCTTGCCTTGTTTTTCCATTCTCTAAACCAGGGCGCGTAATCATGCATTCCGTTTGAATTGGGGAAAAATTCTCCCTTATTTTTCTTTTCTTAAGAAAGCAATTTGAGAAACTTGTTACTGTCGAGGCAGTAGTGATTTTACTGTTTTGAAATGGCCAAACCACCGTAACTGACGGTAGTTACAGTAGGTGACACAAACACACCCACACGACCGCTTTATTACGACCACACAAGTTCGTTTTTGGGTATTTCTTTTTTTTGAAGAAGGGAAGAGGAAATGCAAAAGTGGTTAGTGGTGAACATTCCGAAATAAGGCAACGTTTCGTGTTTGATCACGTCTCTCCCAGACATAAACACATTAATTTTGAAGGGACATTGGTAATTCAGTAGTATAATCTCTTGGTAGTTATTTTTAAAACTGACAGAATTTATGTGTATGGCGACTTGGATGCGCATACGCGACAAGACATCTACTTCTACATCTATTGGATGTGACAACCAGGGGAATGGATCGCTACTAACTGGCCCCATCACATGGCGCCGTTGACACGAGTGACGGGCAGGTAAGGAAAACGCCACGTTTGGTTGTTTAAAGGCTTCCAAGCTCTTCAGGCCTTTTCCAGAGCTAACCTGCCAACAACACGGTGATATAAAGGGAAGGAACGGAAGGGGGAAGTCGCGTGAGTGGAGGGAGGCTAGTGGTTTATAATTCACTTAAAGATAACAAGTCTTTTGTGTCAAAATAGCCAGAGCTACGTCACCGAGGCATTTGAATTCCCCTTTGGTTTAATGTTTGCGGTTGAGTGAGAAAATGAGAGGATTAGATAGGGAGAGATAGACGTGTTGTCGGTTTTATAGCCATCATACATGTATTTCTTAACACACACGGGGAAATGGGGCTCGCTGCAGGGTTTGTGACTTTTTTCTCCTCGTCTGTTGGTGAATGAGTTCGCCTTTGTGATTTTGTAAAGTGTAGGTAACACGTAGAATTTGGGAGAGCAAAAGATTTTAGCAGGAATGAAGACGGCTGTCAAATGACCAGGAGTTGAGGCGGTTTACAGTAGACCTCCCCCCCCTTCTCCCCCCCAGACTGGTTGTAACCTGTCGACACATCTTGTGGTGGTCTCCATAACCTCGAGAAAGTTCACTCCGCCTTGTCTACTTCCACAGATGCAGAGACACGGAGGCTTCCAAACGCATTTGCAGCGTGGACCCAAAAGGCTGGGGGGTGGAAAGCACCGTCTGCACTTCTTTTAAACAAGTGGATTCTATTGGTGAATCACTTAAAGATTTGTGCATCACTTGTAGGGAAGAGCCCCTCTCTATCCACAGGAAAGTAATATCAAATGAAGGTTATGAGAAGTGATAATGGAAGTCAAGTACTTGGTCGTCACACGGTACGACGCATTTAAGGGGAAAATAAACTTCGAGGACTTTCAAGTACCTTGTAAAAATGCAAAGCTTTGGGTTATTTGATACCTTGTGCCAAGGAGTGCCTATCGAACTCTCGAGATAAGTGGATGACAAGTAGATCGTTGGTTATCACCTGGCATACTTCAGACCCTCACAAGTTCACAGGTGTATTTCAAAGCGATTGGTGGACTAGAGGTGAATCAGGGGACTCAAGTGAAACACCATTATTTCCATCCTCGTGATCAGAAGCAACTGGGATGGCAAAATGAATTAATCAAGGGAAGAAAGCCCCCATCTCCTTCAGGCATGGTAACATACACTACTTCAAAACTCACACCGCAAAGCACTTGACGATGAGATGGGAAGGTGTGTGCCCTCATCATATCCCACCTACCCCTCTTCCGTATCCTGCTAACAAATAGTCTTCAGGAGGCGCTGAATGACCTCTACGTTGTCCAATCACGAGATTCATGGTCAGAGGTGGAACAAACCGTCGACCATAAACCATAGACAAGAGACAGGTGAGAAACCAAAGGGAGAAAGAGGAAGGTATGACAGAGAAATGGATGTTGTCTTCACCTCTAAAGAAAAAACCTTATGTAAACAGTGAAGGATCTGCATGGTCTTCTTGTTACGCTTATTCTAGAAAGGAGACAGATGCTTCTAGAAGCTCTGTAAAGTGGGGGGTATTTTATGATATGAAAATCTGACCTGACCTCTAAATAACCTTCAAAATTTAACCAATCGGAGCCGACGTTTCCGATAGGTTACGCGAGGCTGAGAGTAAGTTCCCAAACCAGTAAACGGTCAAAGAGGTATCTTACTATTACCGTTTTAAATGTTGTCAAACTAGTCAGAAGTCAAGTCTTATCGTTTAAAAGTGGTAAATTTGGTGTAAATCTCCCCTATAGACGTCTTTCTCTATCCCCCGGAAAATGCTACTTATTTCCTATTAAGTCGCAGAACCCTATTAAAATGTAACCTCACGCTTTAAGCCCTATCACAAATGTCAGTTCATTTGTGACAGCTACCAGTCATTCTTGCCTCGTGACGATGATTCACCGTCTGAAAGGAGTAAGTAATTATCGTCGGGACGGGATGCGATTAAAGGGACAGCTAGTTTAGCAGCCTTTGAGGCGGTATTCCCCCGCTCCTCCATCCTAGCCTTGAAGACGAGCTTAGCAAACACAAAATCACATAAACAAGAAAAAAACGACCTCTTCGAATAATTGCCTTTTTCAGAACCACCATTTTTCGTGTTCCTGCAACATACTGACTGCCCTACTAATGGCGTTTGACAAAGAACTATCCATGCAAGGTTTTTCCATCTTCACTACCCTAGTTTTCCATCTATCTCCCGCCTTGAAGGGCGGTCAGCATTCTAGTCGAGTCGACGGAGCCGACTATGGAAGGAGTCACAAAGCTACATCAAATATTTTGCTTGCCATTGCAACAAATTATGGGTCAAGGCACAGCTTCATTAACTCAAATTCGTCCTCAAGGGATATCCTCCTCGATAAAATATTTCAATGCGCCATCCAATCCTGAAGAATGTAGCCAATTCAGCAGCTTGTCGTATTCTTTCCTATTTAAACACATAGAGGACCTCATGCCAGGCTAAAAGAGAACTGAAGGTGAGCCTTGAAAAAGGATTCTTTACCCCACTTCCCCCCAGTTTAATCATCTTCTTATCACGTTTTTAAACAAAGGAGTCAAAAAATGGCTTCCAGCATTTACCATTCCTGATTAGTTGCCATGGCCGGCCATTAGCTGTCTGTGTTACCATACATGTGTTGGTTTGTGGGAGGATATGAGTGTGGCGTTTAAAGGGAAGGCAGAAGTGAGGTGCGGGTTGGGGTGAGGAATCAAGACGTGAAGGCGCCTAATCACGTCGGCATTTCCACACACTTCAAAGACACACGCATTACTTGAAAATGCGCTTCTGCATCCATACTCGCACCGTCACCGCCACCGCCACTGCCACGACCATTACCATCACTGCACTGATATCAGTAAGTCAATTTGCCTTATTTTAGACAGTAATTAATATGTTCAAATGACTAGCTCATATTAAGAGACTAACTTGAGGATGCTCAAAAAAGGGAGAGCCAACAAACTGATGATTTCTTAAAAATTCAATGAATGGACAGGCTGGATGGGTAGAGAGACAGATAGATGGGCAGGTGCTTGGGTACCGTCAGGGTTTCTATTACCCACGAAAACCGACGTTCCTTTTGATCTCAATTGACGGCAAGGAAGATCGAGAGGAGGATCGAGTGAGGCTCACTCCTTTGCGCACCTCCCGGTGGCACCAAAATTTGACACTCCCATAGTAAATGAAACCTGGTGAGAAGAATGCCTGACATGTGGTTTGACGGCATCCATTCGCCTTGATTTTGCACTTACTCGTTCTTCTTTTTAGAGGTCTACGCAATTTTTAATGTCTTTCAAGGTAATCTTCGTGATCAATCTTGTAAGCAAACTTTTGAAGCTAGCTGTGAAATTACCTACGAGTCAGAAACGTAGGTCGTGCACGGATATTCCGTCGAGGTGAGGAGGCAGTTGATCCAGATCTAATCCCTGCATCTTGCTAACTCGGAGACACCGATTCAAAACTCGTCAGGGCGGCTAGATGCTCTTCTTCGAGTGCTTTCCATACGCCAGCACCTAATTCTTATGACAAGATACTACATTCAGTGATCATTCCTCCTCCTCTCACTGTTGACCTTTCGGTCCATCATTTGGGACATATGGGGACGAGAGGAAGGAGCATATCCCCTAGCAATTAAGACCACTTGTAAGTCAAAAAGAGAAACATGAGGATGGGCTGTTCACCAAAGTTGAAGGCTTTTGTGCCTCTTCCTCTCTCGTCATCCTTCGGCGACGTCCAGACGTGATAGCTAGTAGCGCACAGTTCCACCGGATTCGCATCCCATGACCATTTACAAATATACTACTTAGAAATAAGATTTTTAGATGTGAAAGAGTGATCTCTAGCCATCTTCACAGCCTTAAGACCTCCTTAAACCCTTCCCAACCTGGATAAATTGTCAGTGTATGCCACACTGTCAAATAACCCCCTCCGCCCCGAAACAGGATAAAATTGAGAGGGATATCGCAAAAAGGTAAAACCTATCCCCCATGCAAGCGATTTGTTAAAGGTTTAGACAGCAGACATTCCATTTAAATCAAACAAAACCCCAAGACAAGGCAACAGATGACAGGAGATCAAAGGCGCGGATCAGTGGGCGCGATTTACCAGAGCAATTAACATGGTGCATACCGAAATAAGTGTGGACATTGTCTAATGAGGCCCCAGAGATGATGAGCGCGTTTGTCGGCAAAAGTGGCAGAAGGTAAATTGCATAATTAGTCGCTCTGCCACAAAAGACAGACCTGAAAGGCAGTGTGTGTGGAAGGAGGGGGAAGCGGGGGGGAAATAGGTGTGACACGAATGCGCCCGCTTGAAACAATTATAAAACGTAAAGTATACTAATTATTGATATGGATAATTAGCCCAAGTTTGCTTAAAATCGGCACCAACATCTTTCCTTTTTTCTCACCTAAAGTGGTGTTTCCATTTACTGACCGATTGTTTGACAAACGGTCATTTCTACACATGCAAAATATGTCTTTTCAATTGGTTGCTTAAAGGAGTAAGGTTAATTTTTTGCTCAGAAATGGACAAAAAGGTATAAATTTGCCAAAAATTGGAGGATATCATGATTACTTTGATAGTTCACTAGTGTACCCATAGTGTCACATATACGTGACACAAGTTCTTATAAGTTTGTGCTATCTGCTAACAACTAATCCTACCATAAATAAATTAATTAAGGTTAAAATAATGTTAAAAACTCAAATATACTCTCATATTTCTAAATTTTTGAGTCCCACTGTTTAAATTGTTCTCTAGACTCCGCCAAGGATGGGGTTAAATGCGGACCGTTGAAACTGTGCCGACTGAATGCTGACGACAGACGTTTTAAGTCAATGCATCTGCCACAAATGTCGAGACGGTGTTAGCAAAATAATAGGGATGTGGTCCAATTTCCCATGTGTCCGCTTTAAGCGTGCCCACACAATACTAACTCACACATTCAGACAAAGATTGAGAGGTGCTATCAACGGTCGAGTCAAAAGTCTTACCTTGCCACTTCTCATACTATGGCGTCGGAGGAGAATACGTTGAGACAACTCACCCGTCACGTATATGTGACGTGGGCTTAGATGAGAAAAGCGTGACGTCGCATGCATGTAACGTGTTAATTACAGATTAATAGAAGGGGAGTGTGGGGTGGTAAAAATAAAGGGTAGAGAGAGTTAGGGAAGAGGGGCAGCGATTTCTTATTGGTTGCCCACTTTCTGTGTGCGTGTTGGTGCGACAGTGCGTATGCATGTGTGTGCTAGTATAAAAGCCAACTGGCACATAATAGCACACATTTTTTGCCATGCAAATCGAGAATATTATCAAAGACCTTCCTCTACCCCCGCCGCCCCCACCACCACCACTACCATCAGTCCTTCTTCGTCCTCCTCCACCTGCTCCTCCAATACCAACGGCAGAATTACTCGGGATTCCAAATGATTTGGCCCCACAATTTCCTTCTCAACTATTACAGCTGAAATGGCAACTCTTCTGTGTGCAAAAGAGTCAACAAGAACTTGCTAGTGCGATCCTCCAGTTGAGTAGCATGATGCTAGTTAACTCGTCGCCTCACCTCAACCCACCCCTCCACCAACCACAACAGCCCTTACCTCTGGGTCTTTCAGACAGTAAAACTCCTTGGAAACGCAGGTGGAGCTCGAAGGAGAGGGGTTCGAGCAGTTCGTTGAAATATGCCATGATGTCAACAAATCAAACAAAGTCTAAAGCATCATGGGTCGTTGTTCCTTGTCAATGCGATGTCTGTCAGAAGAAGGAGGCCGGACCAGTGTTGTCGAAGCATTCAGATCCAAGCAATCAGAGTCCACTCGACTTGTACGTCTCCTACTTCCTAAACAGTCTGGAGAACAGGCAACTTCCACTGCCACCGAATTTGGCTCCACTGCAACAGGTGATTGGGCGGACCACCATTCAACAACAGGTGAGCCCTAGAATTAGAAGTTTGTGGGTACTTTTGACGGATTTGAACTTTTTGCTCGAGTAATGAAGGATTGTGCCATAAGTAATTGCTGCAGAGTTGAAGTCGACTGCAGTTGGAAGAAATGTTTCCAAGTAATTAATCACCACAATGTCAAAATACCACCTTGAACGAACTACTTTTGCCAGTACTCACATTAGTTAGTAATGAGATTTACAGTTTATAATTAAATATGGAAAAAATAGAAATTTGCGAGTTAAAGTCGGTCCACTTGGTTGGTATGGCAACGGGGACGTAAGTGATTCGAGAAAAAGGTACATATAAGACGATTTTTCCTGGTTTACGAAAATGGGAGAAATTTCCACAAAGATGTCAAAATATATTTTTAAAGGCTCATTTTGCCGTACGTATCGTGACATATATGTTTTTTAGTCATATTCTCGAATAAAGGCAGAATAAATAGAAACCACTTGTTTCTTTATAAAAAACCAGATGATACATACGGATGGCAAAAATATGCTTTAGTTTCCACCAAAAGAAATGACTGACAGTTCTTGGTACTTGATGAGAATTCTGACGCTTTGTATGGAGGCGCTCATCATAAGAATTTAGGTGGATGTGTTGCTAATCTATCGGTTAGGCATTTTCTTTTGATCCCCCTCCTACTCTTCTCTTCTTTTCAACCCATCTGGAATGTCGGTCAAACCTGAAGGAGGTGACTCGAGCTTGCCTCATTTACGTCCCCTAGTTTATCGCGGTCACAAAGTTTTGAAGCCTTCACGTTGAATAGAAGGAGGTCCGAGGGTTAAATGCACCCATCCGTAGTTCTACTACCGCTTCACTCACAAGTCCATTACATTTAGGAAGTATCTTATGTCGTTAACAAGATGAAATGGCCAACTGGTCCACTCTTTTATGGACCGCCTAACCCATACCAATTTGCAAGTTGTGTGCACGTGTGCTCATTGTGATAGGCCAGGACATACCTAATGACTAGCAAGAAAACTTTTTCTTCAGGAGAGCTTAGTGTGGCTTAAGGTTTTGAGTTCCTTCAGTCAGTCAGTCAGGCATTCAGGAGGAAGTCCTCTACTTATTTTAAAAGACATTGCAAGGCCTCACTACTCATTACAACCAGAAGGATTACCCAGCTTCAGGATGAGATAGACGGGCATGAGATGGAAGAAGATATTGCCTCATCCTTCTTACCACCTTTCTTATTCCCCTTCTGATGGGTCTTCAGGCTCTGAGTGATGACGATCACTTTTCCTTGACATTTGCGTAACACAGCCACATGATCACATGTGAACCAGACAGTAGACAGATGGGAAATGCTTGTAGGATAAAAGTAAAGGCCCCTGGAGCTGCATTTCTTTAAAATTCAAGAGCAAAATATCATGTAAATACAAACATTTGCTTTCAACCTAATCTGGTCCAAACTTTTCCTGATAAAAAGGAAAACGAATAAAATTTATTTAGGTCGTTTCTTTCCCGAAAGTTATAATGTGGACGCGTCCGTGTGACACCCAGTTATGAATGTTTAAACAGACTAATGAGGTGTCAGCAGAAATGTCATGAATGGACTGGCAAGACATCCAAGATGGTGACAATATTCCCTACAAGAAACGAATCATCTGCTTATTCAAAGGGTGGAATTGATCAAACGTTTTCTTCCTACTTTAACAAAAAGATCCATGCGGTGAATTTATTTTTTCAAACTGGATGTCATACATCCACTTAAGGAAAGTGTCAAGTCTAGAATATTTTATCTGCCTCCGCGTCACGAATGTGTGACAGATGTTTTTGCCTATCCTATGCATCATGAAAATGAATGTAGAATAGTATCGTTACTTGAGGATGTCAAAAAGTCTCGACTGAGGTACGAAACTTCTTAAACTTCATAGTCATTTCTCAAAGAATACCGTAAAATTAAGGAGCGGTCTGTCAACCAAGTGCGAACTCTTTGTTCCAGGTGGTGAGTGAAAGCCATTTATTTAATGAGAAGGCATTATTTTTTGGTTAAAAAAAGAGAAATTTACCTTAGTCAGAACGAATAAGTGCCAGTAATGGAAGAGAGGAGATGATAAAGGCACTTTTCTACTCGGTAGGCATTTTCACACAGGCATTGACGTGAAAATAAGCTCTCTTCACGGCAGCAATAAATAAGACGCGCAACACTCACAAAGTCACGATTCCATGCCCCCCTAAAGGCCATGCATTGGGCGTTTTCTACCATCACTTTTGCCTCCTCTCGTCCCACTCCCGTGCCCCGCGGTCTTCCTCTTCCTTCGCTCCGCCTACGGTCTTCCTCTCTTTGAAAGTCGGTCGTGGGAATAATTAGCCCAGCGTCCTGATCGTTCATTATGCATATACACACACATACACACATATTAATACACACGCACGAACTTACTTGCAATGGGAGAAATCTGAAGCCACGCTCTGTGTATGTCCGAATTCCCAGATACATCCCACGTACCTCACTTGGCAGGTGTAGCTAAGGCAATCCTACCCACTCCCCCTGCCCTCACTTTCTTGTTCTCATGTAGGAGAAGCCACTGGATCTTGCCACTCATTCCCGCTCGCGTCCATCAAAAATTGACCTCATCGGTGATCTCGGAAGCCCTCGGCCAACTTTTAGTCAACCGGCTATCGGTGAGACGACCTCGGAGTTGATCACCTCACCAAATAGTCTTAATCTCTCGCCTACACGTGACTCATCACCCCTGTTCCTCTTTCATAAACCCCATCCAGATGGAAAAATTAACCATGATCCGGCTTTTGATGATATTTTGCAGTTGGAAGCAGTTGCAGCCTCGGCAGGTGGTTTTAAACCCTCCTGGACACACACCAACACCCTTACAGAGAGAGATAGAGCTGTGGTGATCTTGAATCCCAACGAACCGAGGGAGATGTTTGTTGGTGGAGAGGCGAAAGTGCGACTACCAGTGTGGGCGTACAAGAAATGTGTCTACATGGTGGGGCGAGAGCAAAAACGTCCCGCTGCAAGACTGTGTCTCTGTCTGCTTCAATCTCTCTTCAGTCTGCGTTACCTAGTGAGCCACAACTACAGTGGATCAAGACAGAAACGGCCAATCGACCCAGTCGTTATGAAAGCGGTCCTAAGGCAAGCAATGATGCAGTTTAGCAAGGGTGATAACGTCCTCCCCGGCATTGAATTCTCTCAGGGTAAATTGAGAGACTACTTAAACAATGCTTTTCGTGTTATGGCATTTCGACGACGACGTGGTGATCGAGTCAAATCGCCTTTTTGGAATGACGCTGGTGAGCCGATCCTTAGTTTGGATCCGCCGAAAGATTTCCGTCTTAACGACATCATTCTAACCAAAGTCCTTCCCCCTTTTCGATAGCGTCCCACCTTCTGCTCGGCTTTTAAGACCTTTCTTTCACCTCCCTTTAGACCCAAATATTACATTAACAAAAGACGGTTCTACAGAAAAGAGCAAAAATCTAGCCTGCCTAGGGATGTGGTCCCTGGGGTGAGCGGATATCAAACTCGAGTTTAGCCAATCACGGCTTGGTAGAATTCATATGGCATAATTTAAACGATAAATCTTTTTACTCAATAAGCTGAAATTTGCAAAAACAAAAAACAGCTCTTATTTTAAATAATTACTTTCGCTAGTCCTTTAACAGCCAAAATCACTGAGAAGAGAGGGGTAACTAGAAGAACCTACATTGTTTAGCGTTAAATGGCGCTGATGCAATTGTGAATGGGAAATGACCGAAACAGGAAAGTATTTTTCCCACTGACAAAACGCGTGGAAAATAAATGCGGCCGCACTTTCTTGCCAAACAATAATTTAAGCTCATTAAATAGGGAAAGTGCATGGATGGCGATTGACGCCTAAATCGAATTTGTTTAAGGTTACCCAAGTCCAAGGCTACTTCAGTTTTTCTACTGAAGGTGGGAGAACAAGTTTCTGTGGGATCATTTTATTAAGGAAGCTAAAAGAGAACTATGGACACGTCTGAGCGAGTTTGAGACTTTTGCAGACATCGGATCTGGTTGTCAGAGTAGGTTTGTCTGCTGCTGGATGTACTAGGCGGTTGTTTCAACAACAGACAGGTCAAGGAGAAACTCCTGGCAACCCTATTTAACTCCTTAGAAATAGAAAGGTAGCTCAATGCTCTCCGCCCTTCTACACGTAGATAATATACATTATTCTTTTCTTGGCCAAATAAGCTGAAACCAAGTAAATTTCATTTGCAAAGGAGATGTTCTACTTGATAATTGTGAGTAATTACAGTACATGTCTGATTTATTTATTTATAAGCTAAAGGCGTTATTATTTTGCACTCTAAGATTTCTCTGAAGAAGAAGGAAGACTATGTTTGGCAAAATGAGGCATGCCATGGAAGGTCTGGGAGGCTATACGCATGCCACTAGAACGGAAGTTCAACATGCAAAGAATGAAAAACCTACCCGAATAAGCTAGAGCCTAATCACTCATATATTTCTTTCCTACCTACTGCTCTCCAGCGAATCCTGCTAGAGACGACTTCTCAGTTAAGGCCGCAATGAGTATGACAGGCTCAGGGCGGTATTAATTAAGTCTCGACTTGGAAAGAGTGCTACCTCTTAAAGATACTAACCGTGCTCCTGAAAAATCATGCCGAAAAGGAGGGTTAGTCAGTGACGTACAGGATGCGCGTAATCGGGAAGTCACCTCACTAAGACGCAGGTGTAGGTTGCAAGTGACTGAACGGCTTCTGCCATTCATTTTTTGCAACGGAACAGAACAGATATATGGAGTCATAGTATGCAATACATACAGGCTAACTGTGTTTTTTAAATGTGGGATTGACTGAATGAGGTCCCTCTTACTTCCGTCCAGCGGAACGGCCTTTCGGCCGTGCTAATTAACTTCCAGAGCGTTTGGCTCTGCCTTAATAAGTCATCTGTCCTAACAGCATGGTCTGATTTGGACAAAATTAAGCAAATTTAGCTTGTATGCTTATATGCAGCGTCCCCAGACTCCCTGAAGACAAAATAAGACAAAATACTCGGGCAGAATATCTATTCAGGGCAGAGAGTGTGTCTGGGCTACTGGCATGGCCCGAAGGCCAGCCAACCCAGCAAGGTACAAGAGAGCTAACTCCAAGTACAAAAGTGGAGCCTAACCAAAACCGAGGGATAAACCACTATCGTACTACATATATCAAACGTTTCTCGATTTTTCGATTCTGGCTGGTACATTTTAATGCCTTTCGGTTAAAGAGCTTTTGAAAAAAAACATAAAATGAGGGGACTGCGCAGGAGTGACATCCAAAATGAAGAATCTATAAGGGTTTGTTGCCCTAGAATAATAACCAAGTAAATAAGAACGAATAAATGAAAAAGGATAATGCGGATATTTAGAAAATTGAGGTTTTCTGCCGCATAAAACTGCCTTATCAAGTCAGCCCGAGACAGAACCTTAACCAGTCCTCAAGATTATTTACCAAAAAATTCCTTGATTTATGCATAGCTTACATTAAGGTCAATTGAGTCACGTGCGCCCTTAAAGTACCTAGATAGGGGAGGCTAAAATAGATGCATTAAGCAGAAAATTCTGAATTTGCCCCACATTTTAGCAATGAAATCCATCTTTTTTTCTCATCTACTTAGCAATAAGAGATAACCGGTCTATCACAGAACTCGTAAAGGTGGGATTGGACGGAGGGTGAAACTCTCAGACGTGATTGACCGGCAAAAATTTTTCCTCGTAAGTTAAATCAGATGCAAAAAAAAACACTAAGCACGTAAAACAAAGAAGCTTAGTTATTGTCTAGTGTTCGACGATTGAAAGGGACATATGATTCCAGCTTATTACTATGCGCCTCGGTACTATTTTATGTGATAGCTGGAACCCTTGCTGCACACGCATCCTATTATTAATAAAGTCAAAAATAAATTTGCCATGAAAACTTAAGAATTATCGATATTTTCTTCGCTTATTTTAAAATAGCTGTTCTGTCACATACAACCTACGTGTTTCTTTTAACTCATCACCACAGGCCACACTTTCGTCGTGCGAGTTTTCGGATTTGTTCTTATTGAAGGTGGGATCTGTTTTGGCTATTTATTAACTAAATTTGGGAATTATTCTGCAAGTAATGCATTCATTTGTACTTAAAAAACGTATTCGAACAGAAATTTAGGTCAATACTGTTTTGTGTTACCAAGTTTCGCTCTTGTAAGGGAAGTGTGTCTAGGTATTTAGGTCAATAAAACGCTTCGGGATCAATAGATAACCACTTAATTTGGTTGTTAACGGTGCGCATTTACTTGTTTTGTTGATTTTTTGACTTGATTCCTTTGGCAGACCTCGGCCTAACCCTTAACATCATCGAAATTTTACACCATACTCTTAAACTTGCTCTCCAGGTTCTTACGTTTTCATTCGTTTCCTAAAGTTATATTTCTTAACCATAAGTATTAATTTGTGGTTTTGGCTTTTTTTTAAAGCTGTTTTTGGTCTTTTTCTACTTATTTGCTGCAGTGAGTTCTATGTTCAAGCATCGTCATTTGGCTCTTGATTAAAGTATGGCTACTTATGTCGAAGGAACTCTTTTAGAAAATACCTTTAATGTGTTTTTTGTGGTTAGGCAAAGTTTACTTAAATTAGTTTTGTTATTAGGTGTTGATGGCAATTTACACTAGTATTCTCTCGTCATCTGCTGCCTTGAATCTGGCCTACTAAAGTACGGTGCTACCTTTATTTACCCCAAAATCCCGAGATCTAATTTCTGCTCTTATGTTTAACTTATTTACACACGTCGTGTCGGTGCACTCACCTTTGATCCGTCGCACAAATTTCTTCTAGAAAAATAAAACAGCTTCAACTTGGGCTTTTTTTCAGGAGTTACACTCTCTAATTAATGGATCTTAATAAGCACTACACTTCATCTATTAATGGTTTAATGCGATGACCTCTAACTTGCCACCGTTCTTTAGGATGCCCTGGGCTTTCCCTGCTGGGTAAGTTCGCGGTAGCATTAGTAGTAGCGAGAAGTAGTGACAATGCGGCTGCATGCTTCTTTGCCACGTAAATAAGTTCTATCAAACCCTCCGACTAATGCTTAAACTTTGATTCGTCTGTACATAACTTCACCTAACATCTACCATGCACACGCACGAATCTGCGTCATCATGTTGTTTACAATTTTTGCATGTCTCAGCCTCTATTTTGCCACAGAATGAAATTATCAGGAGTCTATATTTTAGCACAGATTTTAGCGTCTATTTTGATAAAATTAGTCTCGTGCTTGCCTGCTCTCTCTTTCCCTCTCTCTGTGATGCATTATTTCTCCTGCCGCCGTTAATTACACTCACGCCCCCCTCTCAACCAATCAGATCGGGCTGGACTTTCCATCCAATCACAGTGTGCCTGCGATAATCCGAGCGTTTGCGTTGACGTTCAGCCTCTGCTCTGGCAGGGCAATGTTATGCGCCAAAACAGGTGATCAGGGGTTTCTCAAAACGAAACTAGTCGGGCGTTAGCAATCTCCTTTTCTTTCTTAAAGCCTCCATAATGTTTAGCTGAGTCACATTGAGTACACGATCTTTGCGGGTCGAAACAGGCATTGAGTCCATGGCTCTTGTCTCCTTTCTTGTGCCCGCATGCGAGCACGATGCATACGAACACGCATCTACCCTTCACTGTGCACATGCGCACAGCTGCGATCTGTAATAAATACTTCTTCATTTGGGCGTTACCCACTCGGGCTTCGAGGCTCTGACTAACGAGGCCACTATCTTCTTCTCCAGCCTAGCAACTATGGCATTGGCACTTTCTATAAGGTCCTTACTATGCCATTAAGTATCTGTGCCTGCCTTCTTGACCTTTGCACACGCTTGGGGAGTCTGGCCCTTACAGCTTTCAGTTGGCTTCGTTGCTATGGTGATGTTCTTGTATTTAGAAGCCCAACTTTTGGGGTGGGGGTAGACGGGAGAAGGAAGGGTCGAACAAAGTCCAGACTGTTTCAGGTCTCGTATATGCTGGTTGTGGCGCGACGGAAAAAAAGAATTTGCAGTTTTTTACTAACCCCATTCCCCTTCCCCCTTTGCGTGAGCATACATTTAGGGAAGATGCATTTTCTTCTCCCCGCTCTTCACCCTTCTCCTTTGAATGCTCCTTCTTTTGGATGTAGGCCACCAATGGTTGGCGACAGTCGACGATTAGCCTTGCGAATCCACGTGCCCGATGCTGATGTGACAAAAACTCTGGTTTTCGATGCTCTCATGACGGTGGGACAGGCATGTGATCAGATTCGTCATCAAATCCGTGAAATTGATGGGCTCGACAATCGTAAGTCCCCATCTTTCATTGCTCCTGTCACTCCCTGTAATCGCTAGAGGCTTAATCTCAATTCTGCAGTGAACCCGATCCGTGTGCCACCCGCTTGCCATGGTACTAAGCTAAGGAGGGGAGAAAGAGGGTCATCATGCTCTTAGTGCACGGTGTAATTAGGTCTCACTGAAGACTGAAAAACTTACCTTAAACTTGTCTTTTGAGGGGATGTCTACCTTTGGTGGCTCTGGTCAACGAAATTGACATCATTGCTTATCCCTGTCACCAATGTAGTGCCTCTGAGAACAGTGGCTCATTGTTGACATGAAGAGGGACTAAAAGACCGTAAAATGACACCAAGACAGTGACGCAAGAAGACTTTTTGTCTTGAGGCAAATCGACCACTTCATTTCAAAAATCGGGAAAGCTAATTTGTATAGGCAACGATTTAAGCATCTGTCACATATATGTGACACTGATGGTGGGCGTTATGGTACACTAAAGAACTCTCTCCCTGCCATAGCTAAAGACTACGGTCTGTTTCTTCCTCACGAGGATAACAAGAAAGGCCTCTGGTTGGACAATTCTCGTAGCTTGGAGCACTACATTCTACGCAATGGGGTGAGTGTCGAGGCTTCATTTTGCCTTTGTAAGGCAGCACATCTGTGTGTCCACTTGTTGTTGCTATTATATGTGGGTGTGTGTGCGTGTGTGTCTATCCTACACCGCACACGCGGACTGTGCTGCCTCCATTGATTGCCCACTTCCCCTGTCCCACCTTTTTTTCAGTGTCGGTGTGTGTGTGTGTGTGTGTGCGTGCAGGAATCTCGCTTCAGAATTTCCCATCTCTGACTGTGTTCTACCTATCCAGTGTTCTCCGCCACATCTGAGGCGACATGTTCTTGAAACTGTTGCATTTAGTGCCAAGTGAACGGGGATTTGGGTGGCCTGTGGGCTCTGAGGTCATTCATCGATCAGTCGTCCACATGAAGGCATTCCATACACACACACACACGCACATACAAACACACACGGTTGATGCAAAAGCACAATTTTGGGTTTAGTTTTGTTTTGTGCCTTCGTTGATAGAATCCCTCATCACGCACGCACACACATCCACCCACGCATGGCCACTGTTTTTTGGACTGATTCGCGGCATTTGCGCGCCAGCTATTCCGTAGTAGGGTAGGACACGCTCGCCGCTGCAGCTTCCCTTGGGCGTGTGTGTGTGCGTGTGTGTACACCTGTAACATCAAAGCCTCCCCTTTCAAACGAAAGCTCTTGCTTGTCAAATCTAGCATTCCTACTGCAATCAGGGCGGGAAGAGGGGGCGGGGCGGGGCGGGGCGGGGCTGGAGGAGGGAGACGAGAAAGGGATGCAAAAAGTGACCACCTTTTTGACCTGTCAAGGTGTCAGGTTTTGTACAAAGTCAACAGGTATCTTGGATAGGTGAAAGGGACTATTGAATACCCACCTGCAGGAGAAATAAGTCTACCACGCGTGCCCACACACACACACACACACACGCATTTACATGGCCAAGCCAACTGTTCGCATCTGGCCTGAGTCATGACAGCTGTGGTCCCTCTCCTTTTTTCAGCCTTTTGAATCTTCTATCCCTCTTCTGGCTGCTATCAGAAACAACTTTTGCCCTCTTTTACCTATTCAACTGACTTTATTTCTTTTATCGGATGGGACTGCGAGAAGGAGGAGGGAAGTTAGCTTCTCTCCTTGATTGTGCCCTACTCGATGACAAAGTGTCTGTCATTCCCTTCCTTCTAGTTGGTAGAACAATTCTTTCTCTCTCTGTTTTCCACTTTTTTTCACACTTGACGGGCGTCTCCTTGATCACATCGAAAAAGATACCTTCTCCACTCCTGACAAATGACAAGACAGCGATGTGATCCAGTCAGATCTGTCACTGCACTGGAAAAAATAGGGAATTGTTTGCTCCTCTCTCAAATGGTTGCGATAGATCTTCAAGGCATAGGACGAAGTCAAGAGGTCACCTTTTCTTTTAAAACAGGGGGCTGGTTTTCCTTAGACCCTCCCCCTCCTAGCGGTCTCTGGAACTAGAGAACAAATAATGATTCAGAAAGGACACATTTGCCCCTTATTTTTCTTTCAACATTATCTGCCTTCTTTGTTTTTTCCACTTTCATTGCCAATTTGGAAGCGTGAGAACGCACTTTGGAGAGCAACAATAGCCACTCCCATTAGATCCAAAAGCAGGCATTTGCAGCACACACAAATTTGTGGGTAATTAAATTCCTGCGTAGCACACACACAGACACGTGCCAAACCGAATGACTCACAGTTAAGGTCACGAGAGGTCCAGGGTTCAGTAAATTCCAAGCCAACTGCCTTTTCTTTCACTTTCGCCTTCTCCCTTTGATGAATAAATCGTTTGACTAATTTCTCTTTCGGTGTAGTAAGATGCATGACTGATAGAAGTGTCCATTACTTGCCAATGGAAAGTTATTTTAAGATTAAGGCTTTAAGGGGGATTATCTTTTAATATGAAGGACGTAGCTCCTCCCTGCACTCTGCTTTGCGTAGGACATCCCATCCCATTTGTCCCATCATAAACAGGTGCCTGTTCAAAACATCCCTCCACTTGAGTGGGGGAACAGAAATGCCTATCTTGGATAACCGTTTAAAGATGATGAGAAGTCTCATTATTTATTTTTTTATTTCCTTTGTTATTTATTTTCAGGACATAATTGAATACAAGTACCGATTTCGATGGCTTTACATTCGTACAATGGATGGAACACGCAAAACCCTTCGAGTGGATGATAGTAAAACTCTGGCCGAATTAATGCTTCCCATCTGTACAAAAATGGGTATGGCTTTTTTCCCCTCCCCCTTTTTTTCCTCGAAAATTTCATACCTTTTATCCGATTGGTTGGAATTGATTGGTGGGTATTATCCAGCCTCGTGATTGGCTGCCTTTGTCTTCTAAAACGAATCTGAGCGCTTTTTACTTTTATTCTGCTCATAAGGCTTTAGAAATCGTTCGTTCTCATCAAACGGGGAATTAATTTCACCCCCTACCCGCGCTTCTTCCAGGACTATCTGTCAGTACGGCTCAATTACTCCAAGACACAATCTGCTTCACCTTGACAGTAATCCTGAAGTGTTAAATTCGCGTGCTTCCGCTGTTTTGAAGCTCGTTTTCACGTCACCTTCCCGTGCCTCGCCTCATGCAATGATGCACTCCAAGGAGTTACGATCTCACGGAAATGCCTCTTTCAACTGTTCTGTGTCGGACGTAAGGAGGAAAGGCCATGCGGCTGTGTGCGGCACGCAGATCTGTGCACGCCCATTTGGAGTGTTGGCCCATCAGACACGGCGTCCCATCAGTGTAGCATGCCGTAGCGTGGTGTGAAATTATGCGGGTGTTAGAGTTTGACTTTTTTGTGCCAGTCGGCAAGACAGGTTAGGCTGTTACACACCCACACAATTCAGCAAGGGTTGTTGCCTGCTGTCTGGCATGTCGGTAAACAGTGTCTGGTTTGGATTGGCTATCACCTCTGCACCAGTAATAGGACCCGCCACTTGTCATACGTGTCAGTGCCATCATATAAAAGCGGCATTTCTTATTGCATCTGTGAGATTAGAGGTTCCATTTTGACCCATCCATAGCAGACAGAAGCACTGGCACCCCAGAGATTATGCCCATTCCCTCTAGTGACCCCCTCGTCAACATTTCACGAGACATACGAATCGTCGTACCTACTGATCCGCTGTCGTTTTGTCGATATTGCCGCAGACCTGGTGGCAAAACTTGGCCGTCCTAGCAATCTTTCCGTGAAATGAGTCATATATAGCGCTTTGGGAGAGGTATAAAATCACCTAGTCGCACTTCCTTCACACTTTGTGTTCGAGACCGACGACTAGTAAAAAGGACGGAGGGGTGGGCGGAGGTGGAAGGTAGGTTGCACTTGCACCCTGTTTGAAAGAAAGAGTGTAGGATTTTGTCTGAAAGAATGTCTCATATCCATCCATCTCTCCTGAGTCACCACACGGACACTGATGGGATGACTAACCCAGGTCCCACTTCCCCCACACGCTAGAACCATCGTTTCACGAGATGGCTTAGGGAGAGGCTAATCCTACTGAAAGGACCAAAATTCGCAAAAATTTGGTCTGTTCTCCAGGTGATCCGGTGAATTAATGCGTGGCTCCCCTTGTACAGGCATTTATAACTACGAGGAGTACCTCCTGGTACGCGATACAGAGGAGGCGGAAAAGGATCGAGGTGTAACCCTAAAACGTGCTCATCATCAAACTGGTGGATTGGTGGGTACCCTTCGAGATGCTGATAAGATGGAGAAGCTTCGCAAAGAGCTCCACACTGACGATGAAGGTGAGTGAAATCCAACTGCTTACACGCTTGTACGCGTCTCTTCAAAGCCAAATCAAGGTCGCGTTGTGATTGGTCGCGGGGGTCTGGAACTCATGTGGTTGCCATTACTACCTCCTGGTGTGGGACTTTTATAAAAAAATAGGGAAAGAAAATTAGTTACTTCCACACTCTAACCGCAGCTTTCTTTGCGTTGCTACAGAATAGTGGAAAAGTGCAGGGCACAAGTTATCTCGAGGGTATGATGCAGACCTCCCCTGCGAGTCAGAAGAAAAAGTTGCAGCCGTGATGGCTTATTCGTGCCCTACTTATGGCCTTTGTCTTTTTTCTTCTCCTTTAAGTGATTTGGCTCAATCCGGCTCAGAGTTTGCGACAACAGGGCATCGATGAGAAGGAGATTCTGCTTCTTCGAAGGCGCTACTTCTTTTCGGACATGAATGTGGATGCTAGAGACCCGGTCCAGTTGAATCTTCTCTACGTTCAGGTCGGTAGCCTTACACTTCTTTTGGATCAGTTACAATAGGCATATTTGCGTATTTGTCCGCAACAAAAAAACCCTGCCTTTAAATGTGGCGCGTTCTTGTTCTCACCTCTCATTGGTCGCTTGGGTTGAAAACAAAATTCCTTTCCCACTCTTCTCCCCCCAATGCCTGCATGCATGCATGTGGGCGCGTAGGTGTGTGTGAGTGTACACAAGGCCTTTCTCCTCTTTTTTCCTCCCCAAAAATACCAGTGTATAGCAGAGGCATCGCCATTCATTCACTAAGCAACGTAAGTATTAGGCTGTTTGTTTTTCCTGGCGAAAGTAGACAATGGGAGAGGTTAATATTATCTCACTTTTCTTCTTTTGGTGAAGGGATTTAGTCGCTTTACTGCCTTACTGATGGAGGTGTTTTGGGGATATTCACTACCTGCGTCACGTATGTGTGACGGCCTGAATTTCTTTGTTTACCACTCTAGCTCACAAGTTACTAATCTAGAATGTGTGCTCTTCATCTGCTTATTGATAAATGGATACACCAAATTGTGTCGTAAAGATATCAGTGGATGTTAGAAGTGTACAGCACGTTGATTGGTCCACCATAATGGGTACTTTCTGCCATATGTCAGAACGGTTAAACATCTGGACTGGAGACTTGGAGACGCCCTACCGACGAGGGAATAGGCCATTTAATTGGATATTTTTTGGTTGTGAAGTAATGGGGTAGAAATACGGTAACCTATTATAGAACAGGTGAGGGGTAGGGGCGGATACGTTTGACCTCATACATGATTCCTGAATTTACTGAAAGGCTGATGTGAAATAGAAAAAACAAACTCTTTTTCGGGTAAGGCCTTGGAACGCAGCGGCTCCACTACATGTGGAAATCCGATCCTTCTGGTTTCTCTTACGTACTTGGGGTCTTTTAGTGCACCCGATCAGGGAGGGCTTTTTATTTTCCGCGTCAGAACAGCTTTAGGGGGATTGTTAGATGGAAAATGCCGTCCCTCCTCTTCGTTAGGATTTATAATCTTGGCCTCCAATGTCTACTTCTTGAGGGCCAAAATGTCTAGGTATTCACGTGCCTCCCTCTCTCCCCCCTCCCCCCATTCCAAACAGTCTACCTGCTGTCCGTTTTCTGTGTGCTCATGCGACTGTCAAAACCTGATCTCTTGTCATTCATTAAGTACAAAGAGTGAAGTGATGTAGGTGTTAAACTCCCACCTGCGGGGAGGTTATTTTCTTCCACCCTCCTCATCACTGATACAGCCAATCGCATTGGAATGACTCATCAGGCAGCATCTGGCCAACCAACTGAGAGTAAAGGGATTTAAGTAACTTCTCTATATCCAATTCACCGGACACCTTTTGATAGGTGGATTAAATATTTGCCAATTAATGTAAATCAGCAGTTATGTGTACCTCATCAGACCTTCCCCGCCTCACTGTCCCCCTCCCTCCCACCGCCTCATAGATTGCCAACATTGAAAAGTAGGCATTTTAACTATGCAAGTTCAGCCCAACAAAAAACCTTAAAATCTACTACAAAACAACGGAAAATGCGATTTTGTCACTTTATTTAAACTAGGAGGGGGTGAGGGTGGGTCACTCGAGGTAGCAGGTCTGTACTCACCGCTGATTGGTTAAAAGACTTGATTACATTCGTTTAGGGTGGGGAGGAAAGAGGAGGTGTGTATCTTTATTTTGTTCAGCCTTTTTGGTAAAAATGAGGCAGAGCTGGGGCATCAAATGATTGTAGTCTTAATTTTTACTTCTTCCCTTCACTCTCGCTCTCTCCGCTCTATCTCTCATGCATTCTGTACTTTTACGGGATAAGCGGCCACTAGGACATGGTTCATGTATACCCTGACCAACTAGCCCCTTTTATACACTGTTCGGGTTATTTATCTCGTGTGTAGGGTTAACTCTGGCCTTTTCACACCCAAGATGGTTAATAGCACCTGACTGTACTTTGTTTAGTGGAATAACGATCCCCCCCGTTACCTTCGTAGCTGGTGATTGGTGGTAGGTCTCGTCCATCATTCCACCTTGACGGGGCTCATTAGGAAGGTTCTATGCTCGAAATTGCGACCCCGCGCCTTTATCTCAACCAGGATGGGGACCGGCGTGCGGTCTCTCCTTCTCCCCTTCTGTGTGGCTGTGTGTATCGTTGGTCTGCCTTTGCCTTTGTCAAAAGTTGATGCGTTTTTGGATAAGTCATTCAATGACATTTTTGGTAGTCTATTCAACCTATAAAAAGCGAGGTCTGGCAACACTGCCATCTGGCGGTGTCTAGGCGACCAAAATGACCTGTGCGTAGATGGAAGTGATGTCTCCCTTGGTGCGACGCTCCTGATGCCGCTCAATCTCCTCTTTCTTGGTGGAGTTTTATCTAGTAAGAAGGATCGGTCCACTTGCCTGCTATCTCAGGTGTGAAGGTTCAACTTCTTCCCGCCTAAAGCTTCTTAGACCACGTTTGCCCTGCTGTAATTACATCAGTCAGGGCGAAAAATAACAGAGAAGTATTGTTTGTGCTTCAAAGGTGTCTGTGAAATAAACGCGGATTTTTTTCCTCCCCTATACCTCTCTATTTATCGGCCCTCAGATGCCAAGCGGTTAAAATTGAGCATGTGGCTACCACATACTACTTATCAGTATAACTGGATTTTAGTAGATTGTACGGTTTGGGGTGTAAATTGATAGGGAATTTGGGAAAATTTACAGGTGTATTCAATGATTTTTTATGGAGATTGGTCGATTGCACTAAGTCATTGAATTTTACACAATGAAACTTTAAAATTGGTAGGAATTCCCTCTTATAAGTGAACGCCATCCACTCCCTGTGGATGGGGTTCACCACCAACATGGAAGGCGATGGAAGACCTCTCAAATCGACCTTGCAAGACATCGAAGTGAGGGTTCTTCCACCTAACTAACCAAGCATCCTCTTTCATTTTAGCTCAAAGATGCCATTTTAAATGGAACGCATCCCGTGACTTTGGAGGAGGCGGTCACACTGGCAGCGCTTCAGTGTCAAGTGGAGCTGGGAAATTACAATCCGAACAAATTTAAATCTGGATATTTGGAGTGAGTGACTGCGCCTAACAAATAATGGATGTGTGTATGTGTGTGTAAGTTTGCAGGCCTGGAGATAGTCAATCATACCTTAACATGGCCATAATACGTGCTCGGGGTCCTGTGCGCATATCCGCCCTTCGATAAATATTCCTTGGAATAGCCTTCGTTGACTCTGCAAGGCGAGCTGAGGAGATTCAGTAATAGTTGTGCGCCACTCCGGAAGTGATTTAACCTCCCTGAAAGACAATTCCAATTTTAGGTCGTGACGTGGGACGGAGATATGTGGGGGGCTAGCGACTTGTCCTTTTGCTGTTAAAATCCTCTCGAAGTGTTTTTTTTTACCTCACTATGGGGATAAGATTAACTTCAAATGTTAACCATGAAAGTAGGAAGTTCAGCCTTTCAAGAAATGACAATGTGTCAGGTAATGAAGGCGCACCTATCCGATGACTGTCTAACTCTGGTGCGAAGAGAGGGAACTTGGAGGAATGTCACCAGGGTATTCAAAGGTGAGGATGGTGAAGGAGTAGTATCTCTCCTCGCTTTCTATCTCCTCGTTCTCCTACCTCTATCTCCCACCCCATTTTAGGAAAGGAGTGTGGTTTTCTTTTGCAGGTATGGGGCAAGGGGTCTCCAGCCACTTTGAAATGCGTTATGCAGGTCGGGTCCAAGTTGAATGGGGATTTTTTTAGTTTGCCCACAGGATCCAGAAAGGTAGCTTTGATGTTGGAGGACTCGTCAATGCAACTATTTGGTTATGCTGTGATTTTTGGAAGGAGATATCTCATGTACTGGCCGGATGCCACCTGCGGTAGTGGTGAACTGAAAGCTACCTCGGTCGGAATCGTCCCGCAGTGGTGTCACCTGTCAGGAGGGATCCTTCATCACACTTGAGAAATTAGAGTCCCTGCTTGATTTGGACACACGAAAGACGTGCCACCGTTTGACTACCTTCATGAATCCGTCTCTAAGTGAATCGTAAAGTTGCTGCCTGCTTCCCCCTTCCCTCAATTGTCACACCCACAAAAAAGGGGGGGGGGAGAGGGGATTAGGAAATTCCAAAATTGGCTATCAAAAAGTGTGGAAAATAATCTTTCCTTGATCCTTTGTCCCCTTTCTTTTTAGTCTAAAGGACTACCTTCCAAAGGAGTTCTTGAAGGTGAAGAATGTGGAGAAGAAGATATTTCAGCAGCACGCCACTCTGAATGGCCTCTCTGACATTGAGGCTCGTGTCAAGTACTGTCACTTTTGTCGATCTCTCAAGACCTATGGCATCACCTTTTTCCTTGTCAAGGTAAGTCACTTTTTAGGTCACCTTCACGGATGAAAAAAAGTGTTATTCATCAAGATTGTCGTGTACTAGGGCTGTTCAGATCAAACGGGGACTATTGAAGCAAGTTAGCTGTGCCTTCCACCTATTGGTTGTTCACAGGAATGTCTACCAGTAGGGGCTGTCCCTACCGCTGTCGCTTAAATGAGCAGTTGAGTGGTCCATCACAACCTCCCTATCGTGTTGTGCTCCCGTGTGTTGGAATTTGACCCCTTCGATCTGGTTGACAAGACATTGGTTTGTCATCTAGGCCACACTGTTACCACTATTGCATTCAGCCTGATACAAGGTATCCGATCTGGTTTGACTGACGTCTTGTTCACTCAATATGGGACAAGATCGCTATTTACCGACGTCTGCGTTGTACAAACGTAATCCAAAAAGTCCCGGTTTGACGCGAATAGCCTACGTAGACAATTTCACCTCGATGCCAAATATTGATATTTCTTTGTGTATTCAAGTATTTATTTACCATAGAATATGCTTTCTAAACAAGAAAAGACCAACAAATAAACGTCATTTAACTACTGTAGCGTTTCTGACACCCACCACTTTGTGGTTTAAACAAAGATGCCAAGTGGATGCGTTACCACGTTTACAGTCGGTGCAGAGTACCAAGTGCTGTACTTTTTAAGGACGTAAACAAATTTTTTTTTTAATCACACACACGCACACACATCAGGGCGTGGATTCTTCTATGAAAATGAAGAGAGTCGCCATTCGGATCCTGTTTACGTACCCCCTTAGTTAATCTATTTGTTTTAGCTTAGCACTGGCCAACTTTTGGCATAACTCCAGGAAATCTTTTTGTAATTTTTAGGAAAAAATGAAAGGCAAAAATAGACTGGTTCCTCGCCTCTTGGGTATCACAAAAGATAGTGTGGTACGATTGGACGAACGCACAAAGGAGGTGGTCAAGGTTTGGCCTCTTACCTCCATCCTAAAATGGGCTGCCTCGCCTAATGCATTTACTATGGTAAGCTCTCCCTACTCTCTGTCTGTCTGTTTGTCTGTCTGTCTGTCTGTCTCGATGGCAGTGTCACGAATACCTGACGTTCTGATTCCTTTTTCTCATCTGTCACAAATATGCGACCTTTGATGTGATTGGTTGAATCTGGTAGCTACTCTACCAATCCAAGAGCTCTGCTATACGGAAATCTTGATTGGCTAGGTTTTAGACTTCTTTTTTCTTCGGTCAACTTAATTGGTTGATATTTTTTGAGTGTTCTAGTTGCTGATTAGTGGATAAGGTGGATTTAATTTTTCCTGCAGTGCTATTAGATGAAACATTTGGTTTTACATCAATGAAATTTCCACCCAATCTTTTTTTAAAATAACATTTGTTCGCTCATTTTTTTAGTTACCCCACTGGTTGTTTTGGCAGTAAACATGACTAGGAGCCTGGATTTTCTTTACAAATGAAAAGACTAGAAGATTGTTCTATTAATCTAACTGTTTACTTGAAAAAAATTTCAGGAAAAACTCCTTCCTCAGAAACAGTCAAGAGTGGTTTTTCTGTTGATTGAACCCATGAATAGATTTACATCACACTTTGGGATGGGATAGAAAGAGAGATGGAGGGCATGGTGCTCCTTCCTCATCCTTATTACTCGTGTCTCCCGATAATAACAGACAGTATACAGTTGGGAAATAAGAGTGAGGTAGAATCTGAGGTGCCCAGGTAACTTATCTCCACGGGTGAATGGAAGTGATCAAACCGCAGGACATCGAGGTTAGGTATGCTTCTACTGTATCGTGAGATCTGACACCCCCCGTGGTCCCTCCTCTCTACCTGATGAAATCGGTGCAGTTACTCATGTGTATCTCATCCTCTGCATGGCGAACTGCTTCGGAACGCAGAACTCGAGAGTGGGATCGCCGTGAAAAGTAGAAGATTAGACCAGAACATTTGATATGCCTCGAACTTTTTTCCCATTCTTGCCCAAGAAGCTGTATGACATTGATATGCCGTCTGTTCTTACTTTATCGTCCAGGATTTCGGTGAATACTCTCCCGACGAGTACTACACAGCACAGACAGCAGAGGGTGAACAAATTTCCCAACTAATTGCTGGCTACATTGACATTATCTTGAAGAAACAGAAGGCTCGTGATCACCAAGGCCTCCAAGGCGATGAAGAGGCTGCAATGTACGAGGAGAATGTGAGAGCAGAACGGTGAGCCGAGCCTTTATGCCCATACTACTCGTCTCATTAAAGTAGCATCCCTCGTAATTCATTTTAAATGAACCAGTTTCTTTAAAAAACGAAAAAAAAAAGCCTCCATCAGAATGTTTTCTTAATGGGAATACTAAGTTTTTTCCCAATTTCCCATTGATTTAATGTAATATCATTGAGGACTAAATTTGACTGATGTTTGATCAGTCCACTTTCTCGTGGGTCAACTATTGTTTTCCTTACTTCAGTGCCAAGTTTGTTCACACCGAGCGCCGTTCAGTGGGACCAGCCGATCGGATGCGTGTACAGGCAAGAGTTGAGGAGACAATCGAAAAACAACGTTTCCAACAGCCACAACAGGCACAACCACCCCTTTTGAATGGTACAGCTCAACAGATGGTGGTCAATGATGACGACAACAATATGGTCGGTTATATTGGCACCTCGGAGAGACGGTATATTCAAGCTGGATCAATTCCGACACTTTCTAGTGAAATTGGACGCATCAAAGTCGATGATACTACTGATGACTTTATCACCGGTGGTGTGAGTTTCATTTAATCTATTTGGCTCAAGCTTTTTTGGTGTTTCGAGTCATCTCTGGGAGAGTGTGTATGTGTATTCTAGACGCAGTACTATGTGTGCAAGACGATGACTCCGGCACAGCGTGCGTTGCACGTGACTATAGAGGAGAATATTAACGCATTGGAAGAAGGCAAACAACGGCTGGACATCGGTCCACCGGCAGAGAGGGTATTGGTTAACCTGGGACACGATGAAGCATCCCGTCGGTGGTTATATGAGTCAATGGGAGTAACGGAGGTGCGAGTTGCCGACGAGATGGGAGCAATGAATGCAGCAGTCGCACAGGCTGTGCGTTCTGCTAATCGTGCCGACTCGGCGGGAGGAGGAGTTCATTTCGGTGTTACCGAGGTTACTGATCCCTCTGATGACCTTATGCGTGTGCAGCAGTCCTTCCGAGTGGTTACTGTACACTTTCCGGCTTTTGTGGACAATGTCAAACGTGTCGCTGTCCTTCGAAGGGAGTCAGGTCTCCTTCGAGCTGAAGATGAGCCAGATGAACGACTACGTCTCGATATAACAGATCAGTCGGAAGCGAACGCGCAGAACCTTCTGGGAGCTGCTAGAACTGTTGCAGACAGCTTCACGGCACTACTGAAAGCTGCTACGCCGCTCACCACTCGCCAGGTATCATTAGACATCATCGACCCCTGGAAATAATATACAATAAATATCAGCTTGACTTTGTCCTTCTCCCACATTTCAGACGGACTACAACCTGGATACGGTAAACTACGTGACGGAACAGGGATCACAAGTTGCTGGATCTTCTCGGAAGGCTATTTTGGAGGCCGCAAACCGTGTTGGTGAAGCTAGCAATGATTTCCTACGCTACGTTCTGCAAGATACCGAGGTTTTAGAGGGCGAAATCGTCCCAGAGGTGGATGAACGTGCCTATCAGGTAGGGACCCGGCTGCTATTGTATTTTGGGCTACCTCTGTGTTGTCATTATTTTACCACTCGACTTCCTTCATTCCAACAGCTATTTGGGGACCTCAGCAGTCGATGCGAATTCGTGATGAGAGTACTTGATAAACACGCTTGTGTGCTGTTTAGCCCTACACGCTTATTATTACAACCCCCCTATTCCCTAACCCAGCAGGTTAAAGGTTTCGCTGTTTCTTTCTTCCTGTTTTTCCGCCCTTGGCGGTTGTCATCTCTCCTCATCTTTTTTGACTTGTAGGCTGATCTGCTAGCCCTCTATCAGGTTAGTCGTGTAGATGTGTACACAATGACCTAGCTGACGCACCACCCTCTGTTTGATAGCGTGTGTTTCCGGCCCTAGACTCCACCCAAACGTTGGTCCTAACATGTCTGGATGCTTTTCTTCTCCATAGGATAAACTCTTGGAGTTGGCGAAGGAAGTTGCCAATTCTACGGCCGTCCTCGTGGTCAAAGCCAAGAATTTGGCCACTCAGACCAGCTTGGATCCGGATCATCAACAACTGGTTGTCATGGCTGCGACCAATACCGGTCTCTGCACCAGTCAGTTGGTTGCTTGCACCAAGGTAACTTGTGAAATACTTGCTAATTAATGCCTAAACGAAGAGGAATTCATAGGCCAAATCTGTACCTTTTTGTTCGTGTACCGCTTAGGTGCTAGCACCAACAATTCATCAGGCGTCCTGTCAGCAACAACTTTCGGAATCAACTTGTGAAGTAGCAACCGCAGTCGACGATGTTGTTCGCGTTGCTCGTGGTGCTGGTCAAGCAGCTCATGACACTATCAATCTCTCCGAGCCCGAAGTCCACGAGATCGATTCTGCCGTAATGCAGGTTGAAAGTGCTGCCACAGAAGTTCGCACTTCTCTGGATCGTCTTAACGCCCATCTCTTGCGTGGCTCAATTAGGGTGGGTGTCGCATTTTGCAAAACACTGCCTACTTGAATAAATTTAAGTAATGAATGAATTTTGTGCCACTTCAGCCATATCAGGGAGATACGTTGGATCTCTTCCAACAGGCCTATGATGAGCTACGTCAGGAGACAGATGGTGTTCGGTTGGTTGCGGCTGCTAGACGTTTGTCTCAAGTCACCGCTCAGATGATATCCGATTTAAAGGTGCAAGCAGAGACTGTGGAAGGGGACCCAGAACGTCAGACCCGTCTCTTCGCTGCCGCCAAACAACTGGCCGACGCTACCACAGAACTCATCAATCAGGCCAAGGTGGAGCCCTTGGCATTGAAGCCCTCCTGCTTATCTAGACTCCTTATAACTTTGTTGTGGAACTTTTTTTGTAGATTTGCTCAAGCAATCCAGACTCGCTGACCCCACAGGCAGACTTGAAGCATGCTGCTGATAACCTAGTTGTTGTAGCTTATGCTTCAGCAGCTGAACTATTGAATGCTCGTGTAATTCGGAGTCTTCAAGCCGCAGCCAGGGCTGTTGTCAGCGCCTCCAACAATCTAATCACAACAAGCCGTTACGCTGCTAATAAATCACGCGCCAATAACTACCATGTAAGGCGGTACTTTGGTGAAGGCTCAGACACGAGGCTAGATGAGCCGTAATTAACTGATCCTGTCTGATTTTTCTTATTCTAGATTTTGATTAATGAGAAAGCAGTTTCTGATCTGCTACCTAAAATGGTCAGTGCCATTCGTTTCATTCGTCGTGATCCGGAGGATCCTTTGGCCCAGTTAGAGCTGATTTGTGCCTGTGAACACGCCATTCAGGTGCGTTTCGATTCGGTTCTGTGTGTGTGTGTGTGAAAAGACAAAAGAAAAGTAATGTAAAGGCGTGTTATTCTGCTTCTAATTGGTTGATTAATTGTAGCCATGCGGTCAGTTGGCTCGTTCCTGTCGCTCCATGGTACCAACAATAGGTGACCCAGCCGTACAAAGTGCTCTAGACAACTCCACCTCTCAAATGGTGGTTGCAGTCGAAACATTAAAGGCTTGCCTGGCACGTGTTTCACCGATTGCGCGGCAACTGCAAATGGATGGTGCGTTGGCGTCACTTTTGCGAACAGTTCGTGAAGCCGAAGAACTGGAAGATCTTTCCAAAGCCGGTACTTTAACCGCTCTTCCTGATGATAAGGTAGATCAACCTCGAATGCTCATTTCACTTTTTCGGCTCTATTGTTGATGCGTTCTGCTACGTGCGGCCCATAATAACCTTTTTTTGAACTCTTTCAGGTAGAAGATCGCTATCGAATACTGAAGGTTAGCATTCGCGATGCTCAGAACGCAACCAACGAGGTCACTTCAGCGGTAGATTCCCTGGAACAAGACTACGCAGCTCCACAGAGTCCAAATTGTGATCAAGGAGAGGATTGGTTGGGCTCATCAGCCAATCGGCTTGCCGGCGCCATGTCCGATCTCTTGCGTTCCACCCGTAGCTGTTTAGTCTCCGAGGATCGACCAATTGATAGCAGCGGAGCTTCCGCCGCTCGTACAGCTGCTCAACTTGCCTACCAGCTCGTGTGTGAGGCACGGAAACTTGAGGCTCTTCAACCAACCGTTTCTAGTCCGGATCAACAAGCTGATGTTCTGGAGAGTAATCGAAACGTGGCAATAAACTGCAAACTCATTGGAGACAACCTCAATCGTGCACTCTTTGAGTGCTTGTTGAAAGCGTTACCCGGTCAGAAGGAGCTGTCGGAGGCGTCAGATTTGGTAGGTCGACGAAGAAAAGATCTTGTCCGTTTCGCGGACAATCCAACGGTATTCGAATATCCGATTGAAGAGACACGAGTGGAGAGGACACAGACTGAATTTGCTGGTGCTGCAGTGGAATTTAATCAAGCGACTGCAGATTTAACAAGTTGTTACACCCCGAGCAACTTTCGACGCTCGTCTGTGCGATTTGCAGGTGCTTATGATTCTCTGGTGGATAAGGGATTGCAGCTATCACGTGCAAAGTCACCCAAGGACCCCACCGGTCCACAGTTGATTACCGGACTTGTGGAAGTCTCTGATCGAAGCAGTGAGATGCTGGAGGACGCAAAACAGGTCTGCAGTCAACCTGAAGCGGAACCGCTGAGGCAAAAACTCCACCTAGCTGCAAGGTGATTGTTTCATTATCTTTTAAAGCTAATCTTCTCCGTGATAGGTCAGTGACGGATAGCATTAGCCACCTACTGAGTGTTTCTGTGTCGGGTGTGGTCCCGGGGGTAGCAGATTGCGATGCGGAATTGAGAAGACTCGAGGCCATGCGTCCACTTCTTGAATACCCCGATCGTCCCACTAATCAACACACATACCAGCTATGTGTCAGCTCGTTTGCCCAATCACTGGCTGTGAGTTTTGGTCCCAAATATCATCCACTTTTGAACTGTAAGATTTTTGAAACCAAATTTTCTCTTTTCTAGCCTTTATCTGATGGAATTCGTGGCACTCTAGATGGTATTAAATCGCATAACACTGAAGTTTTTACATCAAATATCAGAAAAGTGACGGATTGTCTGTGTCAAGTGGTGGAAGAAACCTCACAGGTGAGCTGTTCTTACTGAAGGCTTTATAACGAATCACGATCATAGGCGGCTTATCTGATTGGTGTTGCGCATCCCACATCGGAGCCTGGAAGAGGCGGCCCTGTTGACATCGCTTTCTTTGAACGTCTTCAACGGGACATCAAGAACATTTGCCGTGCAATGAAGAGTCCCGAGGTTACTGAACGACAGGTATGCACAGTGAAACTGTGTACTTAATTGTAATAAGTAGCCACTTTATTTAATCAACTGACCTCGGTTTGGGGATAAATGTCTTTACTCACTCTCTTCCAGGATCGGGCTCGTGTAAGTGTTACTGGGCAGGATTTTGTTCTGGTTTCCCTGCTTGGCTTTACTAATGCAAATCTGACCCAAAATTTATCTCGCTTCACACAATTGCTGTTGACTGACCAACCAAATTTTTGACCATCTAAATTTGCTTTTATTTGGGGTGCACTGAGGTGAGCTGCTAATCTTAGCTTAACCTCCTTCCCACCTCTCATTTTGAAAAGGTTGTCAATCTGGCCAATGACATGTCGGCTAATGTACGCAGCCTACGCGACGCCTGCAATACAATTGCAGCCCAAGCAAACAATCAGGAGGCGCGACGTAGGTTACAGAATCTGGCCGATGACTCGGTGAAGAGTATGAGTGAACTGATCCAACGCAGTGCTGACTGGTCGGATGAGGGACGTCGTATAACTGCGAATAATATCCATGCAGTCAATGGAAATATCGATCGCCTAGTGAGTTTTATCACCTCGATCAGTGAATTTGGTGGAGAACCTGCAAGAATTAGCAGTGAGGCTCGGAGTGTAAGTGTTTGCCTCTTAAATTTAATAAATCAAAACCGCATGTCCGACAACACTTTTCCCTCTCCTCAGGCTCAACAACCCATCTGCTTAGCTGGCCAGGCATGTTTAGAGAGTGGAAGGGGTGTAATTCTGGCCTCGAAGCACATGCTCCAGACGGCAGAAACCAGTGGCGAACCATCAAACACCGCGTTTGGAGCGTTTACAGCGGCTAGCCGAGACCTAACCGATAACACCAAGCATCTTCTCGCCGTCCTAAAGTTAGTTTAAAGGCTTGTTTCTACTGATTTTAATTTAGTAGCGATAATATCATGTGAGTCCATATTGTTCGATTTAGTGAACAGGGGCCTGGACAGGCAGAATGTCAACGCGCATTATTGAACATTCGTCGATTGTTGCATGAACTGGAACGCGACAAGATGGCAATGATGGATGGCGTCTTTACCCCACGACATGACAGCAATGAAGAGGGCTTCTTGAAGGTTAGTTTTCATTGATGATTCTCCCTCGTTTTATTGTCTCCTCCCAGAAAAGTTTTAAGGTATTTTTCTGAATAACAACTCATTGTAACCTTATAGGAGAACTAGTGTGCGGGGCCTTTTGAACCCTAAAAAGATTGAGCTACTCCCCGTTAGATGTCCACCGTACTTAGCGCCCTCCATGCTCACTCTTCAGTGGTGCTCATGTCACCGTGGTCGGTGTCATCAAAACAAAATTTACGGATAATTCCATCCCTAAAATTCACTTTCACCTAAAACAAAACAGTAAGGAGTATTTACTCTTTTCAACAGCAACTCACCATAAGCGCCCGAGCTGTACGCGACATGGCGACGCCGGTAGGACGCGGTGCCACCTCGGAGGCAGAACGTTTGGGTCATGCGGTTCGCGAATTGGATCTTCTCCTTCCAGGCCTCGTTTCTAGCGCTCTTGGAGCTGCCTCACGTGCTCCCAACTCCTCGGCCCAATTAATATACGTGGAGCACACTCGAACCGTCCTCGAGTCTGTTGAACAACTCATCTCTGCTGCTAAACAGGCCGGCGGAAATCCCCGAGTTAGCTTCCTTTTCGGACTTGGAAGCGCATCTTACTACTTTAATTATAAACCTTTTTTTATTTTCCTCGCCAGTCTGATCCTATTCGAGAAGCGGTGGGTGATGGCGTTAAGGCTCAAATTGATTCCTGCGAAGAACTCCTCTCCGCCATTGAAGGTGTCGCATCTCAGCAAAGCTTCATGGCAAAGCTTATGGCTGTGTTGGAGGAATCAAGGGCCCTTGTAAGTCGCATTTTGTAATAAAAGATACTATTTGTCACCTCATTTTAGAAACCTTACTTTCAACGGCTAAAATTCAGGTGGACAAACCCGGTCGTGCACCATATGACGCTCACTTCACCGATTATCAGTCTCGTCTCCTTCGACTGGCTCGTCACATGGAGCAACAGACCGAGGCGACCGTTCGAGCAGCTCGACGTCCACAAGAATCCATCAGTCAAGAAATGACAGGATTGGTGCAGAATTTGGCGCAAGATTACGCAGAGATTTGTATGATCTCTCGCGACGCCTGTGAAACGCTTCGTGATCCTCACGAGGCAGAAAAGCTGCGATGGGCGGTGAAAAACCTCGGTCAGACGACACGTGGACTCATTATGGCTACTGTCAATGTTGCCTCATCGAGACCTGACACATCTTTGAATAGAGGCAGTGTTGGCGCGAAGCCGCCTGCGTACCTGCGCAGTTTGGATTTCTCTGCCGGTGCTATGAACGATAGGGTAGGTTTGGAGAAACCATTTAGGACGAAATATTACTTTTACTTTTATTAATTAAGTAACCACATTTCCTACAGCTTCGGGAGCTGATTGCCTTATTGGAGATGCAGGGTCCCGGAACTCAGGCGTGTTTACAAGGTGCAAGCACAGTGAGTGGAATAATCGCGGATTTGGACACTACTATCCTCTTTGCGAGCTCTGGAACCCTCCATCCACCCATTCGTGATGACGCCGATGTTCATCAACTGGAGGCTCAGCACAGATACTCTGCCCTCTCCTCCGGTTACGATGACTTTGGACGTGAGGCCCAAGGCAACTTTATCAGCATTCGGTGGGTCTGGTCTTGGAAATAAAGTGCCTTCAGTCTAACTGAATGCGGTAGAGAAATTGTTGAGTGACTAGTAACATAAATGAAATGAGCTAGGCGTATATTTCTAGTCAAGACGAGTCTCGCCGGTGTCTCTCATCTCCCTTGGTTATCCTCCTGGTCTAATCATCGTCGTTTCTATCCAGTCTTGTCCTAAAGCAGACGGCTTATTAAATGGATTGAGGGGCTGGAAAACCGGCGACACAGATTTTCCACCTTTCTAACACCTCTTTGCCTGTCATCATCCCTTCTAGCGAAAGTATTCATCGCACAGCCGACGCTTTGGTTCAAGACACCCGTTCTCTCGTAATGTGTGCTGGTGAGGATCAAACCCGATTGGCTGGTTCAACTCAAATGGCCGTTCGCAACATCTCCCAATTGGCTGACGTGGTTAAGCAGGGCGCTGCACTCATTGGTCCCGGTCAATCCGATAGCCAGGTAAGAGTGGCCTTCCATTGGTCAATCTCTTCCTCCCTCTTAAATTTTTATCCCCTTTTTGTGTTGTAATTGTTGTAAGTCATTAGGTCAGAAAGCTATTTTTTACGGGGAAGCTCTAACGGCACCACTACATGTAAGCACTGTGGCTATTCAGGTTTTTCCTTCCCTCCTTTGTTGTTTGTCTGGTGCCATCCCTAGTATCTCCTCTTCTGTCAAAGAAAGTTTAGCATTCATCTGACCGTTGTCCCTGTATTTTGTCTCTCCTCACATCTGATTCGCCTTCTCATCGTTGTGAAATGGATCAATCCTGCGGTTCGTCGTTGTAATCACCTACTTATTTCTTGTATGCGCATCTGTCTTCCATCCACATGACAATCTGTGTAACCGCGCATGCTACCGTTGGGCGATGTTTAAATGAAATGCCGCATGAGTGCTGTAGCGGTGCCGTAGCTTTGCCCATCACGTTTTCGCTCGGCCAAGAATTCGCTAGCTGCGCCCTTGTCCCCTCCCCCTTCCTTTCTCCCTCTCCCTTTATTACCTACTCCTCCGTTCCCTCTTTGCTCCCCTCCTCCCACACTCCCACCTTTTTTTCCGGTGGCCTCTCGTGCATCCAATTAGCGAAGCTTTATCCACTCACTCTAGGCATGCTATTCTCCCTGTTTTACTTCTGCCTCTATCTCCCACTGGGATAGTAAATTAACGCACGTCGAGGTTTATGTTTAATGCTTGCATTTTGTGTTTCTCTTCGTCATTTCCCTCAAAACTCAGGTCCTCATCCTTGGAGCCGCGAAAGATGCAGCTGTTGCTCTCCGAAGTACCCTTTTGGCTGCTTCTCAAGTTCAAGGGCGACCCAAAACAGATCCGGCATTTAAGGAGATGGAGACGTATGAAGGTGTAAGTATTAAAAATCGGAGTTCTTGAGAAAAAGGAAGTGAAACTTCTTTGCTCGATCTGCTGAAATACTGCCTTTTAGAGTGTGGAATCGAGTGTAGCTTTTCTCCTGAAGTCTGTGGATTCCATTGACATGGAGTCGACGCGAGGTACTAAGGCTCTTATAGCAACTGCTCACCTCTGTCGTCAATTGGCTAATCGTATGCCTTCTTCTGCGGCCACGGCGGGACAGGCGGTCAGTTTAAACGACCTGGGCAGTGCAACCACCCTACTTTCTACAACTTCAAGCCTCGTCTCGCGCTATCTGGCGCCGGATGAGCTGTCGCGCGCCACAGAGGGACCCCTTCGGACGACTATGGACAGGGCAATGGCCACGGCTTCAACGCGGAGACAAGATGATGCGCTCATTTTTGCCAACACCGCTAGACATGCTGTTGTGGACCTAGTCAACGCTTGCAAGGTGCATCTTGATCCACTCTCTTGGGGTTAATGCCATGCTATTGGTTGGCTCACTTCTTTTCAGCTAGAAGGATTCAAAGTCAAATTTAGTAAGGATTCCTAATTATTGGTGAGGGATCCGTTTGGAGGAGTAGTGCTTGGGGCTTGACGATATTCCACGGCGATTTAAAAGCCTACGCGGTTACGTGGATGCTTTTTGTTGTATTTCTTTAGCCATTCACTTCTTCTCAGCAGATATCTCTCTTCTTTGACATTTAGACTTGCTACCTAGCCTGTGAAGTGGGATAGTTGACATTATTCTGACGTGGATTTGCCTACGCTGATAAGATTTCCAAGTATGCACCGAATTCCAGATCCCATGCGGTTTGGGAGGAGAGGGTTCCCTGCTTTGCCTATCCGCGTCGCCAGTTACACTTACACGAGACTAGTTCTGCAACATTCAAAATTATTTACATCATTAAAGGCGAATTTAGCGAGTTGGTCGATTTTATGGTGTTTATTTGCTCCATTATTTGACGATTTTCAAGGTGACGCTGTCCCATAGGCCTAGCTTTTTGTGATTGTGAATCCAACACGAGGAACCTTTATTTAGTAAACCAATCTCAGTCGTTTTTGTCCAAGTCTTGCAGCTTGCCCCTATACATGAATCATTACGTCACTTATGTGTGAGGTCACGGATATGAGACGTCACTTTTTTTCGCCTTGGTAAACATTGATGTATTAGTGGCAAGGGATTTCCACACTCAGGAACAGTCGCTTAACTTCAAATGAACCTGCACGAGGTGTTCTACTCTAATGGAAAAAGTCTGCCGTGGTTGAATTATTTGGTCCTGCCTTGCAAAGCACCATCGAGATGAAAGTGGAAAAAGAGGTGCCTTGTCGTCCCGTTGATGACTCGCTAATTGTCAGAGGGTATCCAGTATATGCTGCTACATCTTCACTGCTTAATTTATAGAAATTCAGCACCACCTCGTCACCTCGAGAGGCGGTTGATTTATTGACGTTGACTAGGCTTCATTCTGGTGGCTATGCTAGGCTGAAGCCTCCACTTCATTAGGTTGTTTATCATAGATGGTCTCTCTCTCTCTCTCACCAGTCCATTCCACACTTGAAAGTTAATTTGGTCATTCCGTCGGTCAGTGAGCCAGTTTGTTTGTCTCCACTGCCACGTGTTTATGCGAAAAGACGCACACCAACCTGCATATGTCCGACGACGGCCCATTTCAATTGGCGCCCTCTCGCCACCGGACAGCACTCATTGGTCCATTTGAGGCAGTTAGCCTGGCGAATTTAGTGTTTAGACAGAATAAATATCCACCACGTAGTCAGTCGCAATTGTCGTTCTAATGAAGCTGTGGTGGTGTTGGTGCCTTTTAGAATCTCCAACGTCAACCGGAGATAAAGGAGGAATTCCGGAAGGGTAGTGCTGACACAGTCAGGAAAGTTGTCTTGGAGACTGCTGAGCTTCTGGATGCTGTTAAATGTGTAAGTTCTTGGGCTCACGGAACGCGGAGGAGAAAAGTGATAATCAGATTGTGGTAAATCCACCGGTTTATTGTCTCCTTTAAGGTGATTGCTGAGGCTAACCCGAATGACCTTAACCGGGTATCCGCATCGGCGGGCAAAATCACCACCTTGTCCAATCAGCTCATGCGGCTTATTGACAGGATGCGTGGTTAGTTGGCTTGTATAAAGCTACTGATTAACCTGATAGTGTGACATTTGACTCAATTTCTTCTTCGGTCCTTCTTTTTGCAGATAATCCACGCCTTGTTATGTACTTCCGAGTCAGCAATCCCGAATGTAAGTGTGGATTTAACCCACACTACTTATATCCATTATCAGTGACCGGCGAATTCCACGTTTTTTGTGTGTGATTTTCAGGGCGAGATGTGGCAGAGAAGTATCTGGGTCGTCATATTGCCTTTCATCATCATTACGAATCCTGCAGTGATTATGGTATGTCAACACCTAAAGTCTGCTATGTCGGGGTTAGTCTACTGATTACTAATAAGTAGGTCCATCTCCGGGTTTTAGATGGCTCCAACAGAGCCACAAGTAGCCAGATCAGTTGTCTGCAATCCCAGCTCGATTCAACAGGTCGTCTGTTGACTGGAACTGAGGCTGCGCTAGAAGCCAGTAGACGAATTGATGTTGCTTTAGGCCTACTGGAAGGTGATTTTTATCAGGTATGTTGGAAAAAGTGAGAAAGGTAGATCCTCCTGCATGAAACGATTGAGGCCTTCGACAATGAGATATGTTTGGGTTACTTGGTGCTGTGCTCTATCCTCTTACACCAGTGACCAAACATATTCACATTGTTTGGCCTAGAACGTCATTTTCACCTTTTTTTTTGACACTGTTCCAACTTGTTGTTTCGAGACATCAAAAAATTTTTTATTTTACGTCTTCTAGAGCATGCAGAGGTCGACCAATCAGGATGTTGTACATCACACCCAACCAATCCTGAGTATGGCTCGTGCAGTTACCCTAGCAACACGGGAATTCGTACAGACTGTCCAATTAGCTTCCACCTCCAAAGCCACGGCTAATTTTGGTCGACTGGTGAGTTGTACCGCGGTGACGTTGTCTCCCCTTTCTGACTGGTGGTCTAGTAAATAATCTCTTTGTTAATCTATTGACAGGATTTGTCAGTTGCTCTAGCAACAGAACAATTATGCGAATTGACACGCCTCTGTTCGGAGACACGATCCGAAGGACCCTACACAGCTCCCCTGGATGACCCAATTCGTGTGATGCCTTCCAGAGAGCGTCTGTTGAATGCTGTTCGACAGGTGGCCACCGCAAGTGGAGAATTGCTCTACGCTGTACAGTCCAACGCCCAAATCACCTCAGCCAACATGACCGCTGTCCAGGTAAACTCCAACACTTCAAGTTATCTACCTCTGAGGGCATTGATACGGTCTGCAGATGCCTCTCTCCCACCACATTCGTCGGTGACATCTAGGCTTGTTTGCCCATGTGGATCAACAGTGTTCTGAGACCTTCTTGGGACCGTGGTAATGTCTATCACTGTGAGGGAGGGATATCAGTAATGGTGTATAGAAGGGCTGGAAGCCTGTAGGTCCTGGCGCCAAGACGATGTGGTGTAGTTAAGCAGACAATCACACGGGCTGTAGAAGGGCGTTTTCGTTTCGTCGTCTACTAATGCATAAACAAAAGGAGGCACATGTACCTTTCACCTCTCGACTCTCGAAACAGGATGTGAAAGTTGGTCGCTCTCTCTCTCTCTCGTTCGGGTGGTTGATCGACCGCGGATATAAACCAAGCGAATGCAGCGAAAACTGTCTGTTTATGTCCAAAGTCCGTGTGTCATGTGTGTTGTGCGTGCACGCGTGTGTGTCAACTTCAGTCGATAGGGCCTCCTTAACTGGTGACAATTAGTTGTCGGATATAAGAAAAACAGGGACGGAAAAAGAGGAGATTTCAAGGCGTACACGCTGTATTAGCACTCGTCAGTTGATCGGGACGGTCTGCTTCACTTCCCCATTTCCGGTGGTTGAAAGTGGACAAACTGTCATTGATAGACGCATATTAGACCGGCAGACGAGTGTCTTACCACCACCATCGTACTGCGTTTTGCATCGTCAATACTCATCACACTGTTTTGTCTATCGCCTTGATTAACGATGTCTGGAGAGTGTGACCTTTGGGCGACGCGTCTCGACGGTAAGACCAGACCACGTCTTGACGTTGCCAGGGCGGACTTTTACTTGACTCCTCGGTGTGGCGATCCAAGGTGATCTCACCACCTAACTGCTTCCCTTTTTTAGCAATCAAGGATGATAAAATATTCTCCTCTGTTCCCTTCCGCTCTCCTCCTACCCTCTTAATTCTCTCTGATTTTGATGTCTGTAATTTCGCCTTTTTTTGCCCTACAGGTAATGGGAGATGAGCACCTGATGATTTGAGTGTAATTTCATCGTCTACTCACTAACCATTTGTTCTTTTGCTTTTTTGTGTGTTTGATAGACTGCGGCGAGAGTTGTAAAAGAACAGACAGACAAAATGTCCACAATGGTTCGTAACAAAGATCCAATTTTCAGTCACCTTCCGTCTCAAAGCGGTTTGGGGGCCAGCATTGCGACTCCGATCCCCATCGTCTCACCCCAACAGGAGGTATAGTGGGGGGCAGCGTTGCCTTACTGACTTTAAAGTCATCCTATTTTTAATCATTTATTCTCCTTTTTCGCCCGATTCACGCAGGGTACCAACTCAAGTGCTCAAATCCACACTGAACAGGCGGCCTTGGATGACCTTCGAAATGAAGTAGTGCGGCTTAACCGAAACTTGAACGAGGAGAGGGGCATGAGTTGAGAAATCCTCCATTGTTTGCCTTTTTTATCCAACGCACACAATCAAGCCAAATAGATTTAAGACAAACCTCGAAAGGCAAAGTGATTGCCATAAAGACGACGTTTCGAGTTTCGGTATCTTTTTTTTCCTCACTTTTCCTCTCACTGTCCCACTTTTTTGTCCTTTCGCTCCAAAGAGATTGAACGTGCATTGGTCCCTCCCCTCCTCAAGTGCTTGAAATTGCGTTAGCATGTACTTTCTTCTGCGTTACTTGAAACCGGTTTTACTCCCTCCTCTCTCCCGCCGTACTGGTTTTCGATCCTTCCTTTTGTGAGTTAGCCTAATCTCCCCTCCCCTTCATTCTCACCCATCCATCGAGAGGCCACGCTTGTCACCTCCTACCCTCCTTGACCTTTTACTCCTATTGCTGACACCAGACATTCGTGATAGAAAGGCAAAAAAGAACAAACAAGTACGTGGATATGCGTACTGACGATGAACTTCTATGCTTGCGTTTAGGCTCTTCTCCGTCTTTTGTTGATAATACATGCGTCCGTTTCCAAATTAAAACTTTTTACTTAAAACAATTTTAGTAGCACTCGTTAATAACTATAAGAAAAACATGGAACCCATTGATCAGATGCCCCTAAAAATGTGATCGAGTTTGGATCTTATGAAGCAGAAAGATTTGAAGAGTTAAGAGCCTTATAAAGAAATAAAATTTAATTAAAACAATGGGAATCCGTGCCCACTTTTACTACAAACCGCAATGCCAATTGTTATCAACTATCCCGATACTCTATTGGTTGACGATGGCCTTCAGAACAGATGCCTTTGTTGAACAACGTGCATGTGTAAGCAAAGGGAGATAGATTGAGGTTGAGTTTCTTGATTTTGCACGTTCTGGTGAATGATACACTGCAGAAAGATGCACAACACTGGAACTGTCCGCAGAGCCTTAGCTGCTCACCTCCAACATCAGTGGCGGGTCGGGTTCCCTGAGGAACCAGGAGTTTATCAGGTCGGCGCCATAGTTGTTACAATATAACGGTGATGGCCAGGGCGGCATCTAGCTGCAGCTGCACTCGACAACCATTGACGGTGATTAAACCAAGAGCCTTGGACTGGAAATCGTTTAACTCTGGGCGAGTGACACAGTACCATACCGAACCGTGAGAGACAAGAAAATCTAACGTAGTTGTTCCAAAACAACAGTGCGCTGCCACACAGGGCTTCTTAAAGGTGGAAAGATCCCCATCAAACCTAGAAATTTATTATAACAACTAAAGGTACGAAACGACTTTATTAGAGTTCACTAAATTAGATCAACAATGACAAAGGTGAGTGTGGATTGAAACAGTGCGCAATTATAACAGGGCAGGCGAACAAAGCGAGAGCAAAGGAGGCGATGAATGCCTACTTATTGGGCGTCTGGAGGTCACCCAATTGGGGTCCCTTCAGAAGCACTACTGGAGAGGCGCCCGGATACGGTGGCAGACACAGATTATACTTGTCCGCCAAAAGTGGAGGAACGAATCGACCACCTGAAAGAGTGGACAAACATTCAGTAGAATTATTTCGTCTAAGAACTTGTGGTATGGAATCAAGCAGTCGATTTGATAGAACGGAATGCGTCTTAACAAGTACGGGACTCTACCAAGAAAGTGGAAGCGACCGGTAAACCGATGAGCGCAGAGTTTTGGTGCCGTGAGTGAGATCAAGCAATCTGGCTGTAGAAGGTCCGTGGTCTCCGTCTTCTCGCCGACATCCCAGCCTATAAAGCCAAAGGAAACCATCAGATTCGTGCTTGCAATTAACCATGTCTGAATTATCATAACGCCACGATTAGTCAAAATTTTCAATTCGTTGAGCATCTGTGTGTCTCTTTCAGCCTAGCTCGTCTGTATGTTGATATTGAAACTTCTCGCATGTTGGTTTGGCTCAGACCCCGTCCAAACGAACAGCTAGGCCTTACAGGAAGTAGGTATGTATGATCAAGGCCCCGAGCACCGGAATATCCGAGTTATGGATAATGATCGCTAATGAAGAGAGAGAGAGTTGAAGTTATCCCCGTCAAATATTGCTGGGAAAAGAGATCAGTGTACGTGATGTGTTCATTGCAGAACACCGTCCAGTCATTAGCATCGCTTTTCAAGTGAATCCCTCTCCAACCACGCTTCCAGTCGTAAAGAGGCGGGTTGTTTAGGAATCCCAAACACACCAATAGCACATGCTACTTATATCACTGGCATGAGTAGCATTCCATCAGTAACGAAACTTCAACGTTTTATCTTCTCTCCTGCCTTGCAGCATTTGGATTCCACTGACCCAGATGCTTCCTTTCTTCCATACCGTAGCTGAAACGATACTGGAAGGATGAGAAGAGCAGTGTAACCGGAAATTCACGAGATGCATCACGTGTGATAACCGAAGCGGAGAAGAGAATAAGCTACGTAGCAGAACAAGAGTTGTTTGAGCCCGTTGATTACGCTAAGAGTAGCCAAACTTACCATTAAAATATTACGAAATTTCTTCTTGAAAAAAAAGGAGAAAAAATAAACTCACCTGAAGGCACATCGATAGAAGCAAGGGGCACCTTCAAACTTGCAATTCTTTGAACAGTCTCAGCAAAATCCGGCTTCAGTGGGGGACGGAAGCCGAAACCAAAAAGTGCATCCACAATGAGATCATAAGACGACTCAAGAATTTTCACCTGAGGAGGGAAAAAGAAGGTGGACAAATGCAATAAGCCAATCAGGACTGCGACCCTGTTTATCCAATCAATGATCCATCGCGGATTAAATCAGTGCCTTTTAAAGTAATAAGGTGGACGAGTTTTTTGGCCACCTTTTTGGTTTAGAACATTACCTTTGCATTAGGAAGAGACGGTGTCACATTGAATTAACCATAAAATGTATTTTAATTTGTGTCGACAGAACACCTGTCTCCGAGGTTGCCCCGACCACCGCATACACTGACACATTGTTCCAGACTTCTCTGCGGTCTCTCCCGCACCACCGTAGTGGCGCGGTCTTTCATCCAGCCGTGGAGACTCGCAGCTCTGCTAAATTTGCGGTAGTGAACCCGCGAGTTCGTTGACTGGTTATCCTATCGAAACATAAGAGGAAAAACTCACCACAGAAGGGTGGACTCTTTCACCCTCCAATTTCGCGTGCTGGGTTCTAGCCCCCAACTATGGGTAACATTCTTTCTGCCTACCCACTTTCGGTCTTGAGTAGACACTTTCACAGTTCACCAAAGGCTAAACGAGGGGTTATGGGATTGTTTGTACCCAGTCAGGCAAATAAACAAATCATGCATTTGTATTTTTTCTACTCCTGTTGGTGTTGGAGTCCAGAACAAAAAATGATAAATCATTGTTGAAGGCGACTTCCGGGGGCGTAGAAAATTCTTCCAACTCAACGCCTGTTCAATGAGTAAGAACAGAAAAAATGCGTTTACCTAGTAAAGGTCATTGCCTTAAAAGGCAAACAACATTCATGAAAAGGAATATTGAAAAGGCAATTGTATTTTTGATGGATTGCCCCCTTCTCCTCCTCCCAACCCCGCCAACATTACCTTATTCATTCAGCGGTGTTATGTGAGAACAAAAAAGGGGCAAAAGAACTCGCAAGTGGGAATACATAAAGACCAGCCTTATTGTTCCATTCATTCTTACGGCTAGACGCTTCTCCTCTAGGGTGGTAAACAACCATCCTTGCCTTGGAGCATTAAAGATTAATCAAAGATTTCCTCGCTTTGATGGAAATGCAAGGAATGGTTTTTATTGCTCCCTGTCTTGTGACAAGTTGCTAAAGCATCCACCTTATTGCCTTATGATGGTCAAAGTAGGGAACAAGTGTACACAACAGTCCCTCCCCCTTTTTAAAACGTCTAGAAGGTTCCTATTCTATTGTGGGTCTGCCTAACCGCTTAAACATCCCAAAAGGTCGTAAAACGGGCGCTCTCATTCGTCCTCCACTGATTGGATGATATCACGCACAAATAGACGTTAAAAGCACTAATGGCGCCGGAACAAGACAATCAAAAACAAATGAATACGCGGGGAACAGAACTACCCTGTGCCCGCAATGGACAGATAGCAGTCACGTGCGCATCCTTTGTACCCCCCCCCCCCCGCACCCCATTCCCCGGGAAGGCGTCTGCAAACCCCGGAATGTTCCTTTTTTTTTCGCCCGAACAATCCAGGACGTCCCTGTTGAAGCCTTCGTTTCGCGATTACTTGAGATAGAAGCTCAATAGACTCACAGCTCACACACATAGACAAAAACAATAGAACCAATGCATGACCTATAAAATAGGCAGGCTCCATAGGCACCATCATCTTGATATAAAGGCGTCCCATTCCATGGCCATAGCAACACAATCCTTTACATAAAACCGGTATAAGTGAACCACTGCCCTGGCATCAGGATTAAAAAAAAAGTAATAAAGGAAGTGTAAATCATGCGGAAAAGGTAAACTCACATCAGACGGAATATAGGAGAGGAAGGCAATCCCCATTTTTTCGCACTGCGTGACCAAATTCTTGTAGAGCTGTTTTGACGGTGAGCGCGGATAGTAGACTGTTGGTTTGTAGCCCTAAGCAGGGAGGCGGACAGACAAAAAGGGGCAGAGAAGGAGAGGTGATATAAGCAAGACCGTCTCAAGCACATCAAAACACTGAATTATTGTTATCTAATGAAGACGGGGAGGGGTAAAAAAGAGGTGAATCAACCTAATTCAATCAAATGTGTAGATACGAAAAGTTTTTGTTTATATATCCCCTCCTTTTTTAGTAAAAAAAAGAGACGAAGAAGAATTATGAGATGCGCTAACAACACCTCTTTTAATTGGCATTCAATGACAAGTCAGCTTCAGCAATTTCGGATCACCGCATATCGGTGGCGCTGGAGGCGGCGGAGGGGGAAGGGCGGTGTGCCGTCCCGCGCCTCTTTTTCTTCCTTCATATGACTGCCTCTTTTTTGTTAACAAAAGACAGGCGAAAACCCGTGCAACAACTGCGTATTTTAGTGAACCATCAGTGAATAAACAGTCTAGTCTACGCCCTCTAACCTCTCAAGGTGGAAGGGGTGGAAAAATCGTGTTAAGTAAAAAAGGACCTTAAATTTCGGTCTTGAATGCGTGAGCAAAAGCTTTTCCGGATAAGGAAGGTCGAGAAATGAAGAAAAATGGTGAGAGGGGGGAAGGAGAGTAAAAAAAAATAAATCAAAGGCACCGCTCAGCAGCGGTAGAGAGGCAGGAGGGAAGACGATTGAATTTTCAAACTTGAAGTTCAAAATGAGCATGGGTGGTCACAGATCGAGTAAAAGGGAAACTCCTTTATGCAGAGAGAGAGCCATAAAAATCCTCAAGGAAAAATAACAAATCATTTTGGAGAAAGTGCGTTAGAACCTCTTCACGGAAGACTCACCCTCTACTGCTTAGAGATAAGAAATGTGATTAGCTTCACCGGGATGTATTCAAGTCAAACGGAGACTTTGAGGGGAAAAAAGCAGTTGACAGTTTGTTCACGGTGTCAGTCCTGCACTTATCCTAGCATACTTCACCTAGAAAGTTGTTTTGACATCTAAAGTGTACAAAATATATGACATTATCAATGCCTTCCCCCCCCCCCCCCCACACCCCTGTCCTGCATGTTTACAGTGCCTCATCCACACAGAGCTTCGTGTCGCGAATACATCTGCCCCGTGACATAATGCCAGAAGAAAGTCTGGGGAAGGGAACGTTTCAAGCACTAAATTGAATGTTCGCAGGATTCACCGGTGCTTCTATGACAGAGTGATCAGAAAAGTTGAGACGGTTAATGATAGAGGTATACGGGGTCATCCTGAAGAGGGCAGAATAACTCAAGTGCTTTTCAGGTCAAGTGTCCGGGCGTTCCATCACCGGGTCGAGTTGTAGTGCTGCTGTTTTCCGGTGAACACTAGTAGATACCCGTAGCCCTTCATTACTCATCCGACCAAACGGTGTTGTATGCATGTACGCACTACCACCGTTGACTGTCAGCTTGATCAGAGATATCTCAACTGTCATTGCAATAAACTGGACTGATTGAACTGGGCCGGACCCAATAGACGGACGACACGTGCAACATGTAAAACTTCTACGATATTAAGGTCCTAGGAAACTAGGACACACTGCCAAAGTAGGTCACACTTGTCATGGACTACAACACACCGTGACATCGCGATAGCAACATTCAGATGCACCGTGCTTTACCAGGCCCCGCATCACTTAAACGCCACCACCCGCCAGTTGGGGAGAGGAAGAGGGAGGGAAGGATCGCGTAAAAGTAAAAGGTGACACATTCAGAGAGACAGTTTAGCGTAGTGATGAACAACTTCTGTCAAACAACTTCCATCCTTTGTTGCGGAAACAAAAAAAAGAAGAGAGGACATTTGGGCCGTCTCCTCTTCGGCCACCCAAACAACTAGCCAGCATTCATCTAAAAGTGCCTCGTAGGACCAACCACACTTGGCGACCCCACTTGTTTGCACGGTGAAGCGTTGGCCAAGGAAGTACTGCGTCCACCACAAGACATTGTGATTTTTTACTTTATTCACTTCACTAAGCTTCACTTCGTTTCGCTTCAGTTCGTTCCGTTTCGTTCCATTCAGCTCGGTTCAGGTTAGTTGCTTCAATACACCACTCCAAGAGGTCCAACTTCTGGGTCACCAAAACCTCACACC